TCAAAATGATCAATGTCCCAGCAATACCTGCCCTCCACTATAGATGCTTGTAATTAACTTCTTCTGAAGGTACCCTAAGCAAGGTGTCTTCAAAACTTCATTTTAAATTTAAAATCCTTGTTTGGGAAGATTCTTACAGAAATATGCTAAATCAAGAGTGAAATACACAGTATTTTTCCTTATGTGTCAGAATGCCTTGTCCCTCTGAGCAAGGAAAATGCCTCTTCTACATGGCAGTGACAACAAGGAAAAAGAAGATGTGGACTGGATACTGTTAGAAAATCAGAAGGGGGATTAAAATTGAACCTTAGATTGGAACTTAGGTTCACACCTAAGTGTGAATCTTCAGCATAGAAAGTCCTTTGCTAAATCAGTCAGATACAAAGCAAAAGTCACAAATCACATGTCACTGAGTGTTCTTTTAGAAGATACAATCACAGATGTATCTGTTCATTCATCATTACTTTTATATTGCCCCAATATCTGATCAGAAAATACCCCAAAGAGATCTTCAAGCAATAAATGAAGGTTCTCTGAGAAAGAATCTGTGTTGTCTGTTCGCTCTGTCACTTACAAGGAGCAGCTCCGAGATGTGGAATTCCTTACCTTGGTAGGCACCGCCAGAGGCAGAGCAAGAGGCAAAACGGATACCGAGATGATGATGAGGTATTTCCTGAAGGCCAGGATCACCTCCAGGACTCCAGCCATGGCTCCGGAGCTATCCCAGTGCTGAAAGGCCGTTGACCCACTGTCAACCGGCACCGTCAAACACCGCCCGCCCCGGCGACCCACGCCCGCGGCCGAGCCCCCGCTGCTCCTGGCCACCGTGTCCCTGGGGCTGCAGGGCCCGCTCGCCACCCGGTGCTGAAGAGGACTCTTAAACATTGTCTGCTAAACCGTGTCCATTCCAAATTGAGTTGAGGTTTATTGATGTGAATAGGTTTGGGTGGGGGTTTTTTGGGGGTTTTTTTAGGTTTTAATTTTTTTTGTCTACCACTTTAATAGAAAGCAACTCGTAAAGAATTAGCTTTAGCCTGAGGTAGTTCTGCGCTGTGTGTGCGCTTCCTGCTGTTTTTTCTGAACTTGCTAAAAGTTTCCTAACTTTGGATAAGAAATAGAACTTTTTGTAAGTAAGGAGGGTTGGGATAAGAACAGGGGGAAAAAAAAAGAAAATAAAAAAGGGAAAAAAGTCAAAGAAGATGGGCATTGGACACTGTTAGAAAATCAGAAGGGGTATTAAAACTGGACCTTAGATTGTAACTTGGATTCACACCTATAATCTTCAGCATAGAAAGTCCTTTGCTAAACTAGCCAGATGCAAAGCAAAAGTCAAAAATCACATGTCACTGAGTGTTCTTCAAGAAGACTGATGGTCTGTTCACTGTGTCACTTACAAGGAACAGCTCCGAGATGTGGAATTCAAAAAGTCCTTACCTTGGTAGGCACCGCCAGAGGCAGAGCGAGAGGCAAAACGATTACCGTGACGATGATGAGGTATTTCCTGAAGGCCAGGATCACCTCCAAGATGCCAGCCATGGCTCCGGAGCTATCCCAGTGCTGAAAGGCCTGGGATCTGCCGCTGGAGGCAACGGACACGGCCGTTCACCCGCCGCCAACCGCCCCCCGCGATCCCCCCGCCCGCGGCCGAGCCGCTGCCGTTCGGGGCCACCGTGTCCCTGGGGCTGCAGAGCCCGCTCGCCACCCGGTGCTGAGGGGGACTCTTAAACATTGTCTGCTAAACCGTGTCCATTCCAAATTAGGCTGTGGTTTATTAATATGAATTTGGTTTTTTTCTTTTTTTCTTTTTCTTTTTTTTTTTTTTTTTTGTTAGGATTTTAATTTTTTTCTAGCGCTTGAATAGAAAACAGTACGTAAAGAATTAGTGTGGAATTATTTCAGGCTAAAGCTATGCGTGTGCTTCTAACGTACCATGAGCCTTGCATTTTTGCTTAACTTGATGAGAATTGCCTAACCTTAGATGAGGGATATAACTTTTGTAAGTAAGGGGGATTGAGGAAAGAACTTCTGCAAGTAGGTAGGACGTATCTCTTCCAACTGACACCTAACTAATTAGCATTCAGCATTCAAGGAAAAATGAAAAAAAAATGAAAAAAAAGAGTCATCCAAGACGAAAAGAAGTCATCCAACACTACTAATAATTAATATACGGTTGGAACAAAGACTGTGTAACGCTGGACTCTAATTGTAATAAAAGGACGATAGATGGCAGCAAAGACCGTGAAATAATTACAGCAACCCTATATAGTGGGGGGCGCGGAAAAGGCGGGATTTAACATGAATGTGTAATGACTTTTGCGAATATAAGGTTTTTGCTTTTGTCATTCCGTTCGACGCACTCATGGAGGGTTATCCCCAGTGCTGTCAATGAAAAGGAACGCGACTTCACATTGGTCAGACTGCGATGCTGAGTAAATATCTTTGTTTCAGGACCTGTGGGACCGGCTGGGCGCCGAGCGCGGCTACCACGGCCACAGCAGCAGCGGCTCCGCCGGCTGCGGGAACAGCAGCGCTGTCGCCGACCCGCTGCGGCAGGTGAGGGGGCACCGGGGGAGAGGGGACAAGGGAGTCCTCAGGGAGCCCTGGGGGACCAGGGAGGAAGAGGGAAGGGGAGCGGGGGAAAGGGGAGCTTCAGGGGGTAGCTGGGGAGTCGGTGGGAGAGGGGACACCCAGGGGGAGCGGGGTGACCCGGGGAAGCCCCGGGGAAAAGGGGAGTCCGGGGAGCGGGGAGCTCAGGGGAAAGAGGGGACTCTGGGTGAGTGGATAAACCAGGAACCCAAAAGGAGCAGGGGGTCCGAGGGGAGCCCTGGGGGTGCAGAGAGCCCATGGGAGTGGGGAGGAGCAGGGGAAGAGGGGAGCTCGGGAGGAGTGGGGTGTCTGGGGAGACAGTGGAGCCCCAAGGGGATCAGAGAGCCCGGAGGGGAAGGGCAGCTTGGGGAGAGCGGGGGAGTGGAGAGCCCAGGGTGGCACTGGGTGCTGTTGAGAGTCCTGAGCCGCCTGTTTCTCTTGCAGGAGGTGGAAGCCCTGGTCTCCCACTGGAACCTCTACATCAACTTGGGGGGCTTCTTTGTCTGTCTCTTCTCCGTGACTCTGTTTGGACCATGGAGCGACAGCGTGGGCCGCCGTCCGGCGCTCATCCTGTCGGCAGCGGGCATAGCCCTGCAAACGTCCATCTACCTGCTGGTCATGTACCTGGAGCTGCACGTCGCCTACTTGCTCCTGGGACGCCTTCTGAGTGGCCTGACAGGAGACTACAACCTGATCCTGGCCAGCTGCTTTGCCTACGTGGCCGAGACCAGCGACAGGCGTGCGCGGACGTTCCGGGTGGCCATCCTCGAGGCGTGCCTGGGCATCGCAGGCATGCTGGCCAGCATCGGTGGCGGCCAGTGGCGCAAGGCCCAGGTGGAAGTTCTCTTTAATCCCTGGCTTTTTTCCTTCTTGTCACAGTGCATTTTGGAGCCAATGACCTCTTAGTTTTGTGTGAGCTTGGCTTCCCTCTCTGCTGGGCTTTCTGACCTCATCGGGTACGGCCTCCTAAATCCCTTTCAGAAAATTACAAATTTCCTAACAATGGGAGTATTCCTTTGGAATTTGCCTTGCTCATCATATTTTCTGTGGAAGTCGAGGAATACTGCAGCTAGAGATAAAACACCTTCTTGGTACCACAACCTTTAACCAAGTTTCTGGCCAGTTAGTGACATGATTGGTTCTAAACAGGATGATTAATATTTAGCTAACTAGAAGACAGCTAACAGTGTTCTACTCCTGCCAGAGGCTTAGGCTAGCACATGATTATCTTCTTATAACTGGCTTGGCAGAAACGTGTGTGTGTTGGTTTGGGATTTTTTTTTTTTTCAGCCCCTTAACTATGTCTAATAACCAGTACAACTGGTCTGTCTTCTTTCTTTCTTGGAGTGTGCTTGGATCTTCCTAACTGTAGTGCTCTGTAAGCAGCCAGTGCCAACACATGCACACTCTTTTAGCATTTCCCTGCTTCCATAGAATTTTGGGCAGCATTTGTCCCAAGGTTGCCAAAATTCACTGACAATATTAATGGGAGAAATACAAATGCATCGTCAGGATTACTAGAGTTGTATTGTGGAAAACCTGGTTTAGGAATACAACTAAGGTTTAGTTCTTGAATCATGGAATCTCAGGATATTTTTGATTGGAAGGGACCTTAAAGATCATCTTCTTTTAGACCTCTGCCATGGGCAGGGGCACCTTCCACTGGACCAGGTTTAAATGTGAGTTTCTTATGAATAACCTCTGAATAATGTATACTAACAAAAAAGACTTCAAAGAATCGTAACACAGTTTTAAAGGGCTGGAAGGAGAGGCTGATGGGACATGTTATAAGAATTCCACCTTTCCTGCTTAGCTAAGCAGCAATTTAGAAGGACATGTAAACTCTGTGCAAGTGTTTCAAAGAAAACAAAAAGCAAACAAAAGCTGTGCACGCTGCCCTGGTGCTGCAGACAAAGAGAGAAGAAGGGAGAGGCTCCCAGAAAATCATCTGCTTGGGTTTGTCATTTTTAGGCCCTCAGACACAGGGTGAGCAGGCTAATGAAAATATTTAGGGAGATTTGGATGTTATTTGATAGAGGTAAATGCCAAGGGAAAGGAGAGTGGTTTAGCAGTGACCTGAACAAGTCATTATGTGTTTGAAATCAATTATACCTAGGAGCTCATTAGCAACAGAGAATAAATGCCTGTCCTGTGTGTGCTGTGGATATTCTCTTGGATCCCTATCACACATCAAAACCCTGTCTGTCAAAGCCACTGAAGGGTTAATAACAGGCTGTTCTTTGCAGGGCAGTGATTTCCTGGAGCAAGTGGCCAGTGAAACCACCAGTGCAAGAGGGATCAGTGACCAGCAGGCACCAGAATTGCCTGAAGAGTTGGAACTGGAAAGAAAGTACTGCAGGTCAGTGAATTCTGACATTTTGTAAGTGAAATGTACACTGCACAATGCCCTTGTCTCCTAATATTTAGGACTGAGAAAGAACAAAGTAAGGTTTTGAAAAGCACACACTCATTTAGGGTGAAATTCCCTCATGTTTAGTCTGATGGGACCAGTATGGGGATGCCACCAGAGTGGGACTTGTGAAAAGCAACATTCTTTGTGCAAAATTTAGGCAGGCAGCAGCAGAGCAAAGATTTCAGTGCAAACCTCAGGGGCACATGTTGAATAACTGCTCTGCCCGAACCCAACCTCAGTTATGATACTAAGAGATAGTTTTGGCAAAGTGTCTTTGGATATTCCCGTGGCTTTGTCAGTTTGGTCATTAGGAGTTTATGTGCTACTGAAAGTCAGTTGCAGCAGAATAGGGATTAAATATTTAAAAGGAAAATCTTGGGTTTGACATTCCAAGAAAATTCGACTGTCAATAATAATAAAGTATTTACTACTTTTAAGATAAGAGAAAATCAATTATGCTGATTTCTCTGATTATTTAAAGATATTTTAAATAAGCAAACAGGTAGTTGATACATGGAAGACAGAAGCAGTGATATATAATTAAAAAATTATGCAGAACACAGAGGTACATTTAAAAAATCTTTAATTCAATCATGTTTATTTTAGGACACAGGGGTTCTTTCCTTCTCAGGGGAACACTGCTGGTCCTGTCATGATCTTGCAGGGTGTAATCTGACATAAATAACAATGGGGAAAAAATAGTCTTTTACATTCATAACAAGAGGCCTGCAAATAAATATATTTCAAAAATAGAAGGGGCTGACAGTATGTGATTTATGTGTAATGCTGTCAATGCCATTAACAGTACATAACAATCATGTACAGTTTGAAAATATACACACATACATGTGAATAGTCATGTTAATTGTGACAAGACAGATCTATGCATGAAATCAGGAACACAGAGTCTTTCTTTTATATATATATACACACTTCTCTTTTTTCTCACAGCAGATTTCAGACTTTACAGGTGGGGTGGAAATGCACTTGGGGAAAATGCCCCTCCAGAGACAAAAATTCTAAAGATTCCTGGGACAGTGGAAAAGGCAAAAGGTTACCTCATCTTACTGACAAAATTGCCAGCTAACAGCACTGTTGTGCAATTTTATTGCTGTTATCAATGGTTTTGCTTGCAGGTAACTTGCCCTTTTCCAGAAGACAGGCCTGTCTCTATACCACTGCCTTGGCAAAGCTGGCATGGAGGGCAGTCCTGCTCTCACTGCAGCTCTAACAGGAACAGTCACTGCTCCCTTCGCCTCTCCACCTCATGGGCACGTGCCTGTCTTGTTTGCCCAAGATGGGAGAGTTTGCAGGTGGAACAAAGATGAAGACCAGGTATTGATGGCAAGAGTAATTGTCAGAACTCCCAGAATGTTGAGTACAAATCCAGCTTTGGCCTAGAATTATAAAAAAAGAGGCACTGTTAATTGAACTGAGCACTTTTTTTCCTTCCTTGCTGGTTGGGATTGTTTGTATGGATAGATTTTGTCTTTGGTCTTTCTTTACAACTCAATCAGAACTCCATCAAATTACATTTAAGCTGGTTTTCTTCACAAATATAATTTGTTCTGGGGGGAAACAAGTTTCCATCAGATAAAACTCCTTAACTAGAAGTCCTGAAATCCTTTGAACTCACTCATGTAGAACTTTCTCTTCTGACCTGGCATTTATCCCTAATGTTACTTTGGAATTCTTCTTGGATCAGTCATAAGTTAGAAAAGTTATCAAGAGATATGGCATCTGTGTCCATCTGTCTTTAACACGATGATTTCTCAAGGCATCAGGGCAGCCCAGTGAGATGTGCCAGACTGTCCCCTATCCCTGCAGAAGGACTGCCCAGATGACAGGGCTCTCTGACACCTCTGTGCCCTACATGTGGGCTTTTCAAGCACTTAGACATTGCTGTTTCTCATTGGCAGCTCTTCTTGGAACACCTTCAAGAGGCCTTGGCTGTTCTTTAAAACCTCATTAGCACCTTTCTGAGGTTCTGAGTGAGTGTGACCCTTTATTAATGCACTCGTGTGTCTTCTTTCCATTTTACATCAGCTGAGCACAGTGAGATTTCTAACACTCTCACAAGAAGAACCAGTACTAGAAAAAGGAAGGATCAAATCTAGAGGTGAAAATTCTGACAAGAACGTGATTTTTCTCACCATATCAATAACCTTGAGCTGTCCATAGGAGAAGACAATGGCGTTGGGAGGAGTGGCCACAGGGAGCATGAACGCCAGCGATGCAGAAAGTGTGCAGGGCAGCATGACATAGAGTGGGTTGAGGCAAATGGCTTCAGCCTGTGCAGGAGGAGAGAGCAAAGAAGCTGGTTTTGATACCCAAAACTGCAGAGAAACCTTTTGTCAGAAAACTGATTGTATTTGTCCCTGTCAGAAACCTTGTTCTTCATCAAACACTGCAGCCACTCAGGTTTTGGTGCTGCTTTAGACACTTTTAGTCCATGACTTTATGCAACAAATGCAAGAATTGATTTTGTGGTCAGGGCTTTGTGTTCCTGAGGCTGCTGTATGAATGGATAATAATGCTTGCATTCACCTCTAAACCCTGGGAAAAAATTGTAGAGTGGCTTCAAACTGGTTAAGAACAAAATGAAATTATCAGAGGAGACTGGGCAGCCCAAGCTCTGCGGGTGAGTGGATCAGTTTAAGGGTTTGCTGGAGTGTGTGGCCTATGCCAAAAGATTTTGGAGGAGCTTATTGCAGTTTCTCTCTGGAACCAGCTTTTCACGGTGCAGAACTCTGTGTACCCCAGCAACAGGAATCTCCAGTGGAAATGCAAAAAGTCTGAATTAGGTCATGCTATCACCCTCAGAGACTTCTGGAAGGCCAGTGGTTGGAGTGATAGACAGTAATGGAATGTTGCAGGGAAGCAAATGCTGCTGCTGTCTCTGTGCAGAACAAATTGGAAAAAACAAGTACAGCTGGCAGTGACCTCATGGGGTTGTTTAGGCCAGAAGGCAAAGTCTAATATGCCAATGGATTTAATCCCTTTACTCTTCCCCAGCAATGATTTTAGAAGGGTTGAACTAAGCACAGTGTATTTATACGGAGATATATTCACACACATACACATATGTATGTTTTAAGTCTTGTGTCCCTGTTTGGACACAGAAACCAGTGCTTGGCTATGGCAGCCAGTTAATTTTGTCAATTGAGCAGATGTATGCTTGGAGAGGAGTTGAAAACTGTTCTTATAAGAACATTTTGAAATGCTGGAACCTACCATTGAAGCCACGATAGGGAGGAAGAGGGTGGTGGTGGCCACGTTGCTGGTGCACTCAGTGAAAGTGGCAACGAGGAGACACACCAGGAAAGCAATTGCTGAGTGAGGGACGTGCTGCAGAGGGGTCAGTTTGGTACCTAACCATGTAGACAGACCAGATTTCTGTAACAAAAAAAAAAAGAGGGCTGTCGGGATAGTAGGCTGGAGAGGAAATAACCACATTGCAGTCCAGTTACAGTTCTCATGTCAATTCGACCTTCCCTTGTCATGGCAGTTCTCATACAAACTGCTCTCTGCAGAGAAACAAGTAGGAGCCAATGTTCATAGAGAGGATCATTTGTTAGGTTACCTAGAAATAAACCTGCTTTCCCTTCCAAAGAATTTGAGAGAAGAAGATACTACATTTTTAGTGCATTATTGATAGCTCAGATCATTAGTTGTACATGATCAATATTTTGGGCACTTTTTAATGTAAACAAAGGTCTTTGAAATAATTTTCTAAAATGCTTTCATATATCTTAGCAGATGTTTTAGTGATTTAATGTGATTTCATCACATTGTCTGAGATCTTGATAATTATCTGAAGCTTTTCCATCCTCCATTCTTCTCAGTCACTGGAAAGTCCCAACATCGTCCCTGTCATTCTGGGCCTTCTGCTGCAGCTTTTTTGTATTTGATGACTTATTCTAGAATAAATTATTCTAATTTCTTAAATCTTTCCTTTAACAAGCATGTTTCCCATTTTTACTGCCTTCCTCTAAACTTTCTTCATACAGCCATATATTGTTGAAGACTGATAGCCAAAACTGAATAAATTACTGTACCTGAGGACCTAGTCCTGAGAGAAGGATTATATTTTACACGTATTATGTATGATCAGCCTGCCTATAGTTTCCAGTTGTTTGCTTTTTTCTCAGTAGTAATATTAAAACATTGACAAGAATAAGGTGTGTGAGCAGCTTTAAAACTCAACCTGTTGTTTCCACATCTTACATTTCTGATACTTATTTCCTCCTGTTTCCCAAACTGAGCTGCATCCTTGTTTTCTAGAAACACTTTTACAGTTAATTTTGGTCTTTGAATTCTAAACTAGTATTCCAGGCACTTGAAGCCTTTTCCAGTTTTTTTATTGTCTGTATACTTCGTAATTGTATTTATCATCATTTACCATCACTCAAATCATTACTGAAAAATAATGTGTAGCACTGGACTCCTGGCAGATTCCTGCAGAAGTAGTACAGCAGCACAATTTTTCAGTCTGATGATTTTATCTGCTCCTGAAGTTTCTCTAGCAAGCTCTAAATTTGTCTTCTAGCAGTTTAATTTAAATCCTATTTCCATAAGTCATTTGTTTGAGACAGTTTAGAGACCCATCCTGGGTACCTTATCTCCTCACACTTGCCACATCAATTAATTTTTATTTAAAGAACCTTTAACGTGTTGAGGTAGTTTCTTAATCATCCACTTCTTCAGAAACACAGTTAATCATGTTGTCCTGATTGGTAGTACCATCCCATTGCACAGCTAACAATAAGGATTTGGTCTAATCACAGGACTCCTCCTAAGGATGGTGAGGTCTGTCCCACTGCCAGTAGCTGAGGAAAAGCACATTTGATGATCCCAGTGTGCCCCCTTGTGTCCTGGGACAGCATGAAGAGCAAGGTGGAAAACACCCAGGAAGACACAGATCCCAGGTAAGCCAAGGAATGTTACCTCACTGCCTTTGGCTAAGGCAAAACCACCTCCCAGCAGAAACACAATACTCCACGGCATTTTCTGGTGAACTGTTTTCCAGTCCAGGAGAGGTGGAGGTGCTTGGAACTTTGACTTGCCATCTGAAATCCAAAAAGATTTTGTAAGCCATATTATATTCTCCAAAGAAAGGAGAACTTCTTGGTGGGACATGAGTTTAGTCTGAATATCAGGAAACCCTTCTGTCAGCAAGATCTGGAATTACCTCCTGAAGCAAATGCTAAAAGCCTCACCAACAAAGGTTTTAAAACTTGACCTGCAAAACTAATGAATGATCTGCAGCTGCTTCCATAAGCACAGTACAATGCAGGGAAGGGTGAGCAAAAAGTGTGGCAAGATATCTGCAGAACTGTGTGTGTTTCTATTGTTTTCTCTCCTGAAGATTTCAGCCTCAGAAGCTTTTACACATGTGTACAGTAGAGGCAGGAACACTGCTGGGATAAGAGTTTCCTACTTGGTTAAATAATGAGAAGCACAGAACTTTTATGGGATATGTGCCTTGCCTAACCTAAACAGAAGCTGTAGCTATGCAGGAAGAGCAGTTTGAAATCTTATTTAATATTTGAAAATTCCTTTGTAAACCTCAAACGTGAAACTTCTCATGTGCCTATTCTGGGAGCTGATTTTTGGTGCTTCACTAAACTCACCTGTTTGTGCATTGTAAAAGCCAGAAGGGATGACGAACAACAAAATTGCAATGAACATGGCAACTGTACCATCAGTGACATACCTGCAACAGATTGATCAGATATTTAGTCAGCTATGTTTTCATTTTTATAAAATCCAGCATATTTAATTTTATTCAAAATAAGGAGTAATGGTAGCACCTTTTTTTTTTTGTTGAAAAGATTTGTTGCCCAGCCTGTAGTAAAACCAGGATCTCTCGTAAACCAGAGCACTACCAGGAGTACGAAGAGGGACAAAACTGCTATTTCTGCAAATGTCATCCTGCCCAACTTCCTGCTCTCTTCCTGGATGACAGCATAGGCCTCACTCTCCTTAGTCTTGTCTGCGGCAGTTGCAGCACAACCAAAATTCTCCTTAAAACTAGAAGAAAATGGACAAGAAATATCAGAGACATTTGCTAGATAACCTCAGTTAAGAATTCAAATTTTAGACTCAGTCATAATGTCTTTTAGATATGTGAATATTGACATTAAATATATTATAATCATAGCATCAGCCGCTGAGGTGGGTACTAACTGCATTGTACCATGGCTTGCCAAGGTGATCAGAAGGAAGCTTCTGCCAAGGGCAGGGATCCCTTCCACTAGAGCAGGACAAGGTCAGTGTGACTGACAAGGTTATATGATCACCAGGAAGTAAAGAGTTGCCAAGCTTTTTAAAATGACAGGAAATTAGAATTTTAAAAGAGGAATTTGAAGATGAAAATACCATTTCAGGTATTACAGCACTCTTGCTATGTGGGAGGTTGGGGATAATACAAGCTTGATAGGCTAAGTATTAAACAGGTAGGTAATGTAAGCTGGGTATTGGGGGTGATTAGCATTGGAAATAATAGCACAAGACTAATCCCCTAGGTCTGAAGCAACTCTTGTCACAAAGGCATTTCCTGCTTTGAAGCACAGCAATCTCTTGGGACATGACAACAATGCCACAGAACAGGTCATATGCTGTTAGAACTTCCTATTTGCATCTACAGAGTGTGTTTAGCTGGGATTTGATCAGATTCCTCAGAGAAAAAGGAGCAGTATTTTAATAGACACTGAGTGTGCTGTTCTGCTTGTCTCTGTTCTGTGTGAGGAATTTGTCACTTGCTGTGTGACTTTCCCCATCAATAAAAGGATCACTTGTTCAATGAGTCCTTGATCACGGGCCCATCAGCTGGACTGCAGAGGGTGAAGGGTACTCACTTAAAGCCCAAATACAGTATCTGTAGCCACATCCATGCCAAAACCAGTAACAAAATCATGGTGGGGAAGGCAAAGGAGAACCAGGAGGCAAAGTTGATGACACCGCCATTATCAGGATAGAGCCTGTAAAATGCAGGTAGCTGTTAGCATCCAAAATTCCACATTCTCTTCTGTATTTACTTAATGAATTAGAACAGGGGAGGCCCCTTAAGGAAGAGAAGCTCACTTCCCAGCAAAGTTACCAAACTGATATTTTTTTCTCTGTGCTGCCTGGAAGTCAGTTGTACAGGATGATGCAATTTAGTGGGTTTGTAATCCCACATTCAACCAGACTTACGCATTAATTTGTCCTTGCAGTACCAGATTTGGTGTTGTCCCAGTCAGAGTTGCAATTCCTCCAATACTGGCTGCATAACAAATAGAGAGAGACATTCCCTTGCAGAGTTTCAAGTGTTTCTGCTCTAGCAGAGCTTCATTTCTCTTTTTGTCTTCCTCAATCGTCAGGACATGAGCATTACCTGGATCCCAAGGAACAAAAGAGATGTATAAGCTTAGTTGGACAGGAAAAGATATTTTACCTGCACAACTCAGTATTTCAAGGCTAGGACATAATGGACTCAAAGCTGAAGGAACCAAATTTCCCCTTTTCAAGACTGACATTGTTAATTTTTTGATCTTCTCCCATTTTGCTGACACTTCTTGGTGAACTTGGGTGATGTCTGAACTGCACATGGAGGGGAGAAAGGTAAGAATTCAGGGGATTACAAGAGAGCCAGAGGAGCTGGACTGAAGTCAACTTGTTCTGTACCAGCATCTGACCGCTGGCACTGGGACTTACAGAAACACTGGAGTCATCTCAAACATGAGGAGAGGGCAAGACAGCTGGTAAAGAGATAGTGTTGCTTGATTGTGTAGCTTTGGATTAGAAAGATCGTTTTAATCCCTACCCTCCTGGCTTGAAATAGACCAGAAATTTTCCCGTGGGAATTCCATATTATCTGATCCGTTCCACAGGAGGCAAGAAATGAACTAAGACAAACATACAGTAAAGCCTCATGGAAAGGCTTCAGCCAATGGAGAATGCATTCCTGTTGTTGGTTTATTGATTAGTTCTCATCTCTTTGTATCTTTTGATCTGTTTCCAACTTCAGTCTAGTCAACAGATCTTATGGTGGTTTTGTGTGGCTCATGGAAGAGCCTCATCAGTGCTGTGTGATGCAGTCAGGATGCTTGAGGTAAATTCTTTTAGAATTTACTGGCAGACTTTATGACAGTGAAGAAGGCATCAGGTCATCCTCCATCACCCCAAAGAGAAAGCTGCCCAGAATTCACTCACCTTTTTCCTCTTTTTCATCGGAGTTAACAGGTGGAGTTGACCCTTCCTGCAGCTCAAAGGCTTTGTTGACGTTTTCAGATACTTGGCCAGCACCACTGGACTCCAATTCTGACTGGTGCAGCTGTTCCAGCACTGCCTGTGCTATGGGGACCATCATGGCAGTGGTGGCCGTGTTGCTGATCCACATTGACAGGAAGGCAGTCACGACCATGAATCCCATGAGAAGTCTGGAATGAGAAGGTTTGGAAAAGCTGGATCAGAACTCAGCACTGCAATGCTCTATTTTTGTTGCAAAGATTCGACTACAAGTGCCGGGTTTGGAAGATGCTCAGCAATTCCCACCCAGCACTTCTTCTTACCCTGGTCTACTTTGGGAGTGACACGGTGAGATTTTACATTTCTTTTTCTTTTTTTTTTCAATTTCAACCAATTTTTTACATTCTTATGACCAGGAAAGTGGAACCTGGTAGCTTGGAGCCAACAATTTACCTAGTCAGGCCCTGCTTATTCTGCATGCTTCCAAGGAAGACATGCCATCTCAATAACACATGTTAATGCATTATAATATATTTTAAAGAGGAATCGGAGGCTGAACTTGATCCCAAGTGGCAATCAGTTTAAGCCATAAGGATGAGGATCTCTATTTTTCTGTAATTTTATCCCATCTCTATTATTTAGGATTCTCTTCTTACTCATCTAAAATTCTAATCCTCCTTTCAGTATTACTCTGTGATTTGCCTCAAAATTATTCTTTAGATGAGATGTAGATTGTATTTGAGATGGAAAGGGGTTTATCTTGTATGCATTTTTATTCTATTGCTTTGTAATTTCCTTCAGGATTCCCTCTTGTTAGGAGCTAAGACAGATTAAATAGGGTGCTGTAGCCTCTGCATAGCTTAGAGTTCTAGTCTGGAAAACACTTGTTGTTTTGCAAACAAGCATCCTCGTGTTTTCTCTTCTCTTTGCAATCAGTGTAGCAGGCAGAGAGTCCATGTTTTCTGTGTTTGATCTGTGGTCTTTCCTGACTGTCTGAAGCTGTGTCTTACCACCATTGACTCTCTTGTTGCTATTTCTCCACCTAAAGCCATTTGGAATTCAAAAAAGGCACACCAGGTCTGTAACACTTCACAGGATCCCCATTTGCAAGGTTAGCTCAGGCACTAACTCACTTGGACTGCAGGAAAGCATTTGTAGGCTGTGATTTCCAGATTCACATATGTCACATAAGGTCTTTTATCCCATGGTGTTTTTATGACTGTTACTCACAGGGCTGGTCTGACACCAGTGACAAGCAAGACCCGCAGAGCCATACGCCTGTGTAGGTGCCAGTTCTCAATGGCAATGGCCACCAGTAGTCCCCCAACAAAAAGCATATTGGTGTTCTTTAAATATTCCCGACAGACCTGTAACGTGGAACAAGGGAGAGAAAATAGTCAGAAGAAGTCAAGAGAGAAGGCATTTTCTGAGGGAGGTTGTTCCAAAGCCATTAGCACAGAGTAACTGTGGGTTGCATCTGAACAGTGAATTTGCTTTGATTTCAGATTAGCAGCTCCACCCAGAGCTCACTGTGGGCTCATGCAAGTTCTATTCCGTAAAGAAGACAGACAATTTACTGTGTAACAGCAGTGGAATAGTAAAAGTAGTATTAGTAATACCACTAATACTAATTATTGTTATTAGTATTGTTATTGTTAATGTTAATATTATTATTTTCTGAGAAATAAGAGAAGCAGACCTATTAATAC